TGTCATCATGGCTCGCTGCAACCTCAAACTCTTGGGCTCAAGTGACCCTCCTGCCTCACTCAGCCTCCTGAGTAGCTGGGATTACAGGCACACGCCATCGCACCTGGCTAATTTTTCTATTTTTGGTGGAGTTGGGGTGTCGTTGTTGCTCCGGCTGGTCTTAAACTCCTCCTGACCTCAAGTGATCCTCCTGCCTTGGCCTCCCAGAGTGCTAGGATTACAAACATGAGCTACTGTGCCTGGCCTCTTTTAGCATCTTTGAGACTGTTGTTCTGGAGTGTGTCTGGTAGATCTACCAACAGTTTTCTTTTGTGGGCAGTTTTTTTTTTCTTTTTCCCTTTCTGGTATTGTTCCCTATATGGACAGTTTCCATTGATTAAATATTTTCCTTTGAATTGGCCATACTTTTGTTTCTTTGTATGCCTTGTATTTGTATTTTTTGTTAAAAACCGGACATTTGAATTTAATAATGTGGTAACTTTGGAAATCAGATTTTCCTCCTTCCCTGGGGTTTACTGTTTTTTGTTATTGTTACTGTTTTTGGATTGTTGTAGGTTGTCTTTGTGCAAAGGATCAGCCTAAGCTGTAAACTTAAAGTCTTCTCAAGTGTTTTCTGAGCCCGTGCCTTTCCCTGAGTATGTGTGGTCACGTTCTAATTTTCCCTGAATATTCAGTTGTTTTTGAATGTCCTACTCTTTAATGTTTTGCTCTTAAAAGGGGAAAAGGAGAAAAATGAGGCAGAGGAGGGGCAGTATGCCTTTAAATCCCCTGGAAGTTACTTCAGCTGGAGGGGGAGAAGCTTGTAGCAATTTTGGGGGTGGATGTAACAACTATGGCCACTGCATCTTTGTCTCTATCATCAGAAGTAGTAATCAGAGCACAGAGCCTCCATATTTGGAAGACAGGGTCCTTTTTTCCCATCCTGGCTCATGCAGGCTGTGTACAGTTTGCTTCAGGAACAAGTGCACACCTGGCTGCTGTGTGACTAGAGGTACAGTATGGGCAGCCAGTACTGTGTTAAGAGTGGAAATTGGCAGAAATTAACCACAGTTTACCTTCCAAGCTTTCGGAGCCTGGAAGTCGAATACCTTCAGTAGACTCCAGAGTTCCAAAATAGTTGCATCAAACAGATTCTACCAATGCAATAGCTGTCTTGGTGGGGAAGACAGATTCCTGGTGCTTCCCACTCTGCCATCTTCCCATCATCTCCTCCATCTTCTGTCTGTTTTTGTTGCATATTCCTAACACTTAGAACAATACCCGGCACTTGGTGGGTTCTTCACAAAAAGGTGTTGAATAAATGAAGGAAAACAGTGGTAGTAGTGGATATAGGTTGCATCCTAGATACAGTTATACTGAATGGGTTGATGGTTGTGAGATGAGTGACAGGTTAATCAAAAACGGCTCCTAAAAAAAAAAGTTGGCACTTAGACTTTCAGTGTAAGCATGGGTAGAGTGTTCGTTTTTTGAGATTGGGAGACTGTGAGAGTAGCAAATTAGAGGATAAAGTGAACTGTCATATTCAGAGGCAAATGATTCCTTGAACTGCGATCTGGTGAAATAAAAAAAAGTAGTAATGAAAATAGTTATTCTCAAAAGTTTCTTCTACTTGGTTTTAACGTTGTATAAGTTTTGGAGACTGTACTCATGATATTTATTTGTAATGTTTTCTCAGGTCATGCGCATTGTGGATAATGTCCGTCCTGATCGTCAGACAGTTATGTTTTCAGCTACTTTCCCCAGAGCTATGGAGGCTTTGGCTCGCAGAATCCTGAGCAAACCCATTGAAGTGCAGGTTGGAGGGAGGAGTGTGGTTTGCTCAGATGTGGAGCAACAAGTGGTAAGTACTGTCTTTGGGAAATCCCCAGTTTCCTTGATATTTAGGTAGTGTGTATGACCTTTTGAGATCACTGCGAGGTGGGCAGATAATTTCCAAAATTAACTAGTATACATCAACTGCAGCCTTCGATATTTTATCAGATTCACTTGACT